CCCTTTTTTACAAGTTGAATACACAAATGTATTGTATCTCCGATACAACCATCTTTAGTTTTACTTGCTAACAACAAGTCATCCACATATTGTCTCAAAACTGATTTATTTGGAAAAATTAAATCCTGTAAGGAATTTTTCAAAATTTGAGAAAATATAGTAGGAGTGCTAGTGAATCCCTGTGGTAACCTGGTCCACCTTAATTGTTTTCTTTGCCAAGTGAAGGCAAAAAATTGCTGGCTTTCTTCTGCAATAGGAATGCTAAAGAAAGCTCCAGTTAGATACAGTAAAATACTGTGCCCAAATAGGGATTTGAGTTAAAATTTGAGTAAAAACAGGGGAACGGGGGAACTGGGAGATATCACAATCTTCCCCAAACCATTTTTTTGTTCAAAATCACAGACAATGGAGTGGATAGGTATCTTATTTCCTCTCCTACAACCTGCCCTTAGTCTCACTGATTCATTTGACTTTTGGGGAATATCAAAATTTAACAAAGATAAGGTTGCTCCCATATCCACTAAAAAGGTGATTGAAATACCGTTTAGCTTTGTAGAAATTTGACCACATTCATCTACCTTGATTCCAATGGGTTCCATGGCTCCTTTAATTCCCGAAGAAGTTGGATACCGTTTCTCTTACTGTGAGTGCAGACGTGCAGTTCGATCTGGTGGAAGCCTTCCTTGAGCTGCTGGTGGTATCAGGCAGTCTCTTTGCATGTGACCTATATTCCCACAATAAAAACACTGTAAGGAGTTAGCACATTGAGATACAAGAAGGGGATATTGGGGTGGGAGAGCGGAAGGAACTCTACCTGGTGCTCCCCTCCTCCTCAGTCTGCTCCTTGGAAATCCTTGTCCTCTTCCCCTCAGGAAACTCTGGGTTATTGCTGCAGCCAATAACCCAATTTCCCTTTCCTTTTCTTTGCGCTTTCACTTTCTTTCAAGTTTTAACCTTTCTTCTTCTTGATTTTGTCTTTCTTTCTCTCGACCATCAAAAGCAAAAGTTGCAGTGCTCAAGATCTTAGTTAATGTTTCTCCCTGCCACCCTGGCATATGTTTCTTAAAATACTTGTATCAGGAGAAGATTGATCAATGAAAACACTGATGGCTAAAGGTTCTTGGAAATTGTCACAGGTCATTCCTCTATATTTCAATAGAGTAGCTTTTAATCTTGCCCAGTAATCGCTTGGATGTTCATCAGGTCTTTGCTGACACTCCAATACTTTAGTCCAATTGGTTACTCTTTCTCTCACCAGCTTGGCGAACTGCCTCAATTAGTTGCCTGATGAGCATTTTGTCCATCAGTGGTTGCTAAGTTCCATCCTGGATCTTGTTCAGATCTCTCTGGGCAATTCCTCTGTCCCTTTGGAAAATTTTATCTCTTTCTTCTGATTGAAATAACTCTCATTAAAGTTCTCATATCATTCCAACTAGGAACATAATCAGTGACAATTCCCAATAATAGTTAGGCACACTTTTCAGAATTATCTCGAAGATGAGACATTTTTGATTGCCAAGCTACTAAATCACCTTTTTTCCAAGGTTCATGTCTTGTAACTGCAGTTACTGCAGGAACATCAGGAGGTGCACCCGGTCCTGCTCTTGGATTTGGGATGTAAACCATGCACATTGGATACATGCCAGCTCCTTTAGGGAGGGGTTTGGTTTCCTCGGCTTCAGGAGCTGAGAGAAGTGGACTCCTTCTCATTTTTGTTGCAATAGTCTTTTTTTTTAATTTGTCCAATTATACCAAATATACCAATAATCAATATCTTGACTCCCAGAGTCTTCTACAATTAATTTTGAAACTTCTGCTTATGGGGTTTAAAGGTTCCTTTGGGAGGCCACTCATCATTTGGTCCTCCTCCTCCTCTAATTCTAGTCAGGAATGGCCATTCCTCTTGGCACAACATTATCAGTCTCCTTGTCTGTAGTGTCTGTGCCAAGGGCATCTTTTTCCAGTTTTCCAGTACCTCAGCAAGGGGCATCCCCCTTTCAATGCTCCGTGGTGTTCCCATTTTCTTTTACCCTCTTTTCTTTGTAGCAAGTTTAAACACAAGAGTCCTCCCAGTATAAACTGGTTTGCAATTACCCATACCCAAGGCTCTATAGATGCACTCCCCTGTTTGCCAGCAATTTGAGTGTTGGAGACGGGTTTGTCCAGAGGGATATCTGGCTCGTATCTTTTTCTCTTGTATCCCAGAGTCCCATCTGGGTCACCAATTTCTGTTAAAGGAATTTAACTCAGTCGGTGGGTAACTCTAGGTTTGCTTTATTTACAACTCAGAGTTGGGCCATCACCTCAGTGGGTGGCAAAGGCATTGCAAAAATCAAGCTCTATATATATGCTAAATTTAACATTATACAATAGGTATTCTTTTCAAAGTTCTTGGTGTTTTCCCACAAAGCCTCAGTTCCAAATTTCTCGTTAATTTAAAATTCTATAAAAGTCCACAGTGGTCTTCAAACACAGCTGAATCTTCTCGTCTAGTCTCAGTGCGTCTTCAGAAGTTGCAGCCCTCTGGTCCCACTCTGGTCACTGTATTCACTGATCTTGAATAATCTTCCTATCTGCTTTCTTTGCACTTCTAAGAAAAACTTACATAATGCCATTTAACTTATGTCTATTTTAAAATATGTAATCTTTCATAACTTGCTTGCTCCACGTTAATCACGTATCCTCTATAACTGCTATGTCTCTAAATTCTGTTATTCTTGTTGATTCAGCTGGATTGGGTTCAAACCAACCATGGAGAGGGCTATACAAAGGACAAAGTGAGAAGCAGCATGGTTGTGTGGTTTATAAGAATTATTATTATTCTGTTATTTCATAGCACCTGTTTCTAATTTTTCATCTTAACCATAATACTTCTATTAATTAATATCACTTTACCTATAAGCATTTTCTTAGAGAGTCTTTCCCTTTTACATACAGCATGATATAGTATGACTCAATCTGTTGTTTGTTTTAAATCCTTAATGAGTTGCACCTTCTGGGCTGCTGTTTTTCACTCACAACCAGTAAAAGCAGTAGGATTACCAGTCTGTATTTGAGCTTATAAATGCCCTTATTCCAGAGAATTCCAGAGATTCCAGAGAAACCCTGCAGCTTCTTTCTCTCCTACTTTAGTGTTTCCTTTGATGTCAGTTGGGACAACTTTATTCCCAAAAGTATTATGAAAGAAGTGGGTAGTTCCCAGCTCAGTAAAGGCCATGAAGATGCCTTTGAGACAACATGTTATCACAAAGCATTGAATTCTGCACAAAATTCTTCATACTCACATTTGATTTTTACATTGCATGTGTTTGAACACGATAATTGGAGCTGATAATTTATTTTTAAGTGTGTTTGAATGGTAGCGAAGTCTTTGCAGGAAAATACTGTCTGTCAAACAATTTAAAACCTAGAATCAGTACTGCACTTCGATAACACACTGATTTTCTTTTGCTTACTGTTTAGATAATCACATAGACATTTTTGGTTTCCCCTGAACTGCTATAAATTCAAGTGTACTTGTTGTCTTCTCTTATTCTTTTCTGGGTGTCCTATTTGAGATCTAAAGCAGGACCTTGACTGGCTGCCAGGTGCCCACCAAGCTGCTCTCTCACTGTCCCTCCTCAAAAGGACAAGGGGAGAAAATAAGATGAAGAAGCTCATGGGTAGAGATAAAGACAGGGAGATTGTTCACCAGTTACTGTTATGGGCAAAATAGGCTTGACTTGGGGAAATTAATTTACTTTATTGTCAATTAAAAATAGAGCAGGATAGTGAGAAACAGAAAAAAATAAAAACACCTTCCTCCTCCCGCTTCTTCCCAGGCTCAACGTCACTCCTTCATTCCCAACTTTTCTGCCTCCTCCCCTGAGCAGTGCTGGGGGATGGGGAATGGGGATTACAGTCCATAATACTTTGTCTCTGCTGCTTCTTCCTCCTCATGTTCTTCCCTTGCTTCAGTGTGGGTCCCCCACAGGGTCACAAGTCCTGCCAGAAGTCTTCTCCATGGGCCACCATTCCTGGCAGGGGCCTCCTCCAGCACAGGCTCTCCCTGGGCTGCAGCTTCCCTCAGGGCACATCCACCTGCTCCGGCGTGGGGTCCTCCATGGGCTACAGGAGGACATCTGCTCCACCATGGATCTCCATGGGCTGCAGGGGGACAGCCTGTCTCACCATGGGCTTCACCATGGATTGCAGGGGAATCTCTGCTCCGGTGCCTGGAGCACCTCCTCCCCCTCCTTCTTCCCTGACCTTGGTGTCTGCAGGGCTATTTCTCTCACATATTTCTCATTCCTCTCTCACAGCTGCTGTGCAGTATTTTTTACCCTTAAATATGTTATCACAGAGGCACCAGCAGCATTGCTAATGGGGCTCAGCTTTGTCCAGCAGTCAGTACCTCTTGGAGTCTGCTGGCACTGGCTGTGTCCAGCATGGGGGCAACCCCTGGTGTCTTCTCACAACGGCCACCCCTGCAACACCCCAACTACCAAAACCTTGCCACATAACCCAATAAAAGCAGTGAGATTCTGTTTGAAATATTTTGTAGGAGCTGAGGTTCCTCAATGCCATATTAAATACCACTAAATCCCATAAGATCTGATATAAACTCATCAGAGGAGGCATCCTTCCTTCTAAAATATTTGGAAAGCTCATGTTGGGCAGTACCATAGCTATATGTTTTAAATAAATGTGATAATAATTAGGTAAATGAGTATGTATAAGCTCGAGACTTGTATTGTGAAATCCTGATTTTCCTTGGAGAAATCAGCCAGCTCCATGACCCAACAGGATGTGATGTTAAATAGTAGGGATAATAAAGCCACATGTAATGATGAATATGCCCCACCTTGAAATGACTAGAATTTAAATAATGTCTGAAGTTATTGATTAACCCAGGGTTGGGTAGGATTTAGCTGCTCTAGTAAAAGTTGACTATTCCATCTGAATGCTTGTTTTATTGAGGAGCAGAAGAGTTGCATCTTCCACACTTGGGCTAAGCAAAAATGGGCAGTTCACATGTAAGTAGTTAATTAATTTAGATTGTCAAGAATGCAACAATTTCCTGGTTTTATTTTTGTCCATTCATATTACATTAATACATCTACAAATGCAGATTTAACCTCAAAATCGAATTTAAGTGTGGGTAGGAAAATTTTATGTAGCTGGTAGCATTGCTTAATTGCAGTACTTGAATAATGAATTACTGTAACACACAAGTTCTGAGTGTTTTAACACTCATTGTGGCTTAGTTAAAAAGGGCAGCATTTATTTTGAGAAAGAAATTATGCATAGGATGTCACGGGAAAACTAATTTTACTTAGTTTAGCAAGTTTGTATTGGAACATTCTGAACACTAAAATAATTCCCTAAGATGTGTAAAAAACTTCCTGTCCCAAAGGCAAACACTTTCAAAATTTGGCTAAGTTTATCACTGAATAGTGGAGACAGGAGTAATCTCAAAATGTGGAGCTCACAGAAGGACCTGATTAAAATTCAGGTGTCAGGATTTATTACATCACATTACTGTATGAGTTTTGACTGAGACAATTTTAGCTAATGTGTGGGTGTTTAATAATAAATATCTAAATCTGCATAAAGATATTTAACTTCAAAATAACATGATTATCAAAAGTTTCTGTGGTAGCTGTGAATGATCTCTGCTTCTGAAAGTTAATTAGCTTGTGCTGAAGAAGTTGGGGGTTTTTAGTTCCAGTTTTAAAACTAATGAATGAAAGGCAATATTTATTCAGCAGCACATTTTTTCCTTGAATGCTGAAAACCTGCAGTTTTACAGTATGCACCAATAGAAGACAGCCTGTTGCTGATACAGGCTAATGTTACATTAGTTTCTCTAAGATTTGTATGATTTTATTACATTACTATTTTTTAAATTCAAATTCAGCAAGGCCTTGAGAGGTGCTTGAGCATCTGCTGCTTCTGGAGCAGCTCTCTAGGACATTTTCTATGCCAGACTGAGCAAGAGAGCCCGCACCACTCACACAAAGCTCCAGCTACTAAATGAAGGAGCTTTTTGTCTCCATGTGAAAGGGTGGTTAGTCCCAGATCCACACCATCCTTTTGTAGCCTGGCTGCTTGCATAAGGGGAAAGAAGTGAGCAGTTCAGCAACCTGTCTTTGTGTAGAAAAGAAGGCCAAGAAGGCTCCTGCTGTGCAGCCCCTTGTGTCCACATAAGCACACATTGGTTGGTAGGCATCTCCTGAGGGTCCTGATCCTGGAGAGCCTTTCACTGGACATTGCACTGAAAACAGTGTAGAGTAGCTGGCTAAGATCCATCTATGGCAAGTGAGATCACAGCACTGCGGGATCTCAGGCGGGTTTAACAGTTGTATGAGCTCCATGCTGGACAAGGTAGCCCAGCTGTAGGTGCAGTACAGCGGAGTTGCGGTGTAGGCTTCAATGGGAAGAGGTGTAAGCCCGTGTTGGTAGTGAATTCCATGATTCATCTGGGAATTGCATAATTCTGTGTTTGTCCCAATGAAATTACAGGTAATCTTGGAGAAATGCCTGCATCTGTATCAGAGAACCGCTTCTGGAACAGCCTGGAAATATTAAGTTCTTAACAGAGCTTTTCAGCTGCAATTTGTTCTTTCTCCTAATCTCATGTTTTGCAACCATAGGTTCACGAGTGTCTTATATATTGTGTTTTTTAAACCTCCAGAGCAAGTCTTACAGGCTCGCAGAGGATATACGGAAACCAGCCATAGGGACTACCAGTTTGTCAGCAGATGAGCCAGTAAGCACTTTTTTAATGAAGGATGAAAGGGGCATCGTGGTGTTGCCGCACATGTTGCTGTGGTTTATGGTGGCTTTGGGAGGCACTGCAGTGCGCAAAGGCAACTCCTCTTTCATGGTCAAGACTGGCACTGGAAAGCTGGGTAAAACTGGGTTGATTCATTCTGCTGAGTACTGCATATTTCCAAAATTTTATCTGCTTTGAAATGTCAGAAGTGTCATTTTTTTGAATAGCCCAAATTCTGCTGGGAGAATTATCAAATTAATCATCTGTGTCAAATTAGGTATTTTATTTGGTTAAATGGATTTAGGCTTTAAAACTTTTTTTAAAAATGTCATTATTAAATGAAGTTTTCACTGAAAGTTAAGAATTGGTCAAAGAAAAGGTTCCATTACATGGATGTTAAAGTGGAACTTTTCAGCTATATCAAAATATCTCATTTTAAAATGTAGCTTTCATCAAAATTAATATCTTCCTGAACATGTTAATTTGAACAAAAGTAACAAAATTTGCTGAAAACAATGCCTTCAACAAAAAACTTCCAACCAGCTCTAAAGTGTATCTTTCTCTCAGAAACTGAGCTTTCGATTAAGAGCTGCACCCGATGCAACATTACAGCTCCAAATCTGCATACTTCCACATGCTTTTTGCTCTCTGAACTCCAGTCCCTTTTTCTACAATCAAAGTTTTTGACTGGACATCCTTAGAGATTTTAAGTCTCTATTTTCTCTGTTTGCAGTCTTGCATCAAGCTTATCTGTACTTCTGCTGTCTTCAAAATTACCACAAATAGAATCAATCTGCCTGAAAATCTGGGTAGCTGCTCTGCTGTAAGCAAGGTGCTTGGGGAACATTTTGGCAATAGTAGAAATGGTTTTGATGATATGATGGTTTGAAAAGTTTGATGGAGTTTGACTTCTGTGAAATTGGGTAATTGTTTTTTAACCTTCTGTCTCTCAAGAATCCAAGAAGACTCCATGCATTACTCTGTTGTTCTGTGTGATGTTTGTGAATTGAATTAATCTAGCGGGTGGGCGAGTTCCTTGTGTTTCATTTAAACCACTTTTTGAGATTCTCCAGAACACTCTTTGAGTTTCATCTTCTCATTGTAAAGCAGCCCAAACCTTCTGCCAGGGAGGACTCTGTAATGTAAGAAGGAGGTGGCCAGTTGTCATGGACCAGATGATTTGAGAATTTATAGGTAAAAAAGTATAACGTGGAGAATATATGTGCCTAAGGAGTCTTCTTGGGGATAAGCTCACAAACATCACAAGGGCCTCTGTGTTGCCTATGGATATTTCTATCCTCGTAGAATGTTTCCTTAGTACAACTTACCACAGCGTGATTTTATTATCTCATCAAAAATCTCAACAATTGCTATTTGTTGCTTCCCCTGGCAGACGAGTATTCACTGACAGTTGATTCTTGTTCAGTCCTGGCCATAAGCCCACAGTCAGCAGAAGACAGAAATACCTTCTTGTTCAGCCACCCAGCTCTGGGGAAGAGCTGTGGCAAATCCTTTTCGTTTCCATGGTCCCTTTTATCCAGGATATTTGCTGTTCCTTTTAGGTCTGAGGCTGTCCTGTGAGTGCAGCTGTGGTAGGTCTTAACAAGTATCTACCCATTAAAAGTTTATGATACATTTATGAAAAAAAAAAAAAAAAAGGAACCCATCTGAAGTATCAAAGAGTCATTACATTTATGTTTTACATAATTAATGTAAACAGATCAAACAATTATGTTTTATAAAAACATAAAAAATTCCAATGTATCTGGACTCTAACGTTCTTCTTTGTATACAACATTTTTAGTATATTCTACCAAGTTCTGTTGTTACTATCCAGAAAATTTACTTTGCCTTTATTGTTAACTATAACTACTGACTGAATCAATGGACTGATTACTGCTGCTCTAGGTGACTCAGCTGACCTGGGAGTATCTTGAGACCTCCTCCACCCTGTGAGGTAAAAAGGAGTTGGACGCAGAAACCTCCAAATTCAATAGACACAGTTGGTTTGTTGGGCACTAAACATGCAACGTCTGTATAGTAACAACCTTTCTATGTGTCTATGAATATGCAGATGGTGTTTAGATAATGCATCCTGCAGAGGAATGTTTTAAAAACAATGAAGGGACCAAGGGGAGAAGCATGTAATCTTGGGGCTTCCTGGTGGGGTGCAACATCCTTCAGGTTCTTCTCCTTTTAAATGATTGAGCTTTAAAATATATGAAAGAGTCAGCATGATGTTCCCAAAGATTGTGTCCATGTATTTCAGCCCTTTGTAGGTATACTCATGTTAGCTTTTTTGCTGGCATACACAAGATAACAGAATAACAGAATTTTTCCAGACTTGGAATTCTAGATTTGTCCCAGGTGAATAAAGCCATTTCTTTGGGTTTTTTTTTATTTGGTTTGGTTTGTTTTTTTGTGGCTTCTGTTTGCAAGATAAGTATTAAAAGGAAGTGATGTGAGGCGTGATTCATGCCTAAACACCAGCATGGTGTCTCTGGAGATTTCTAGCATCCTTTCCTGCCTTGGCTTCTGCTGACACACCAGGGCAGTCAGGTCCCAGTGAGCCCTGTGGCACCTCTGCCAGCCCCACGCAGGTGCCGGGTGCTGTGGCACATCTCAAAAGTGTCTGTATTTAAGAAGATTAATTGAGCCTTCTAGAAATAAAAGCTGCAGTTTTCCAACTTTGGCATTCCCACTGCATGGTACCCTACTAGCTGACTGATTTTAAATGTAATCTATTTTAAGAAGTTCCACCAGCCACAAGAGGGTTTGGGAACATTAAATCCAGAGTAAAATTCAGCCATGAGACCAACCCCTACAAACATTTTTTCTCTTCATTGTGGACTTCTCTATTGTGGTGTTGAGCATTAATAAATTGAGTGGATAAAAAATTAGCCATAAGCTATTATGAGATTATATATTAACAGATATTTAGAAACAAGAGGAACGTCGTAGGAGAGAGATGTTTTTAATTTTGCAGTTTAAATAACTGTCAGAGCAATTAGCTTCACTGTTGCCACTTGTTTGTAATAGGAAAAAGTAAATGCAACTAATTCTATTAGGATCTTGTTGTCAGTGTAGTTTTAGTCTCAGATGTAGAAAATAAGGTTGTTTGCACCTCTCAGTTTGGAAAGAGTCACTGAGTCATCATAAAGGCTGTTGAGTAATGAAGTCTAATCTACATTGCTTACATATATTGTGTTAACCAGCATAGAATTCATATAGAAATGGTTTCATTCCTGATAGCAACAAACTGTCAGCAACAAGCTAACCTGACAGTGCATGTTGCTGTCGTGCAGCTGTTAGACCTAAAACAGCCGTAAGGATTTGGGAGAGTGGCAGGCTGCCTGGCAGATGGCGGATGGCATTCGGAGATGCTGAGACCATTCTCTGAGCAGTCGAGGAGGCAGATGGCAATTTTCCAGTTACATATTGTGGTTGACTGAGAAAATTATGCAAACAAACAAAAATAAAAGGTACGTTTTAGAAAACAGCAGAGGAAGAAACCTTGCGGTCAAAAGGACACATGTAGTGCTTAAGGTACCGCTTGCCAGTTGACATACGTCAAAGAGGTGTTTATCAACCCCGCCTTTTTATTACCACAGCACAAACCCTGGTGCTTGCTGGTACTGCCCCACTGCCAACATACTGCAGCTCTTCACTTCTCTTTGGTTTTAAGTGTTAGCACCCACCTACTCTGACCTGTGTGCTAAAAGCCTTTACATTTGAGTGTTTGAGGCTGCACCTCAAGTACTGTGTTCAGTTTTGGGCCCCTCACTGCAAGGACATGAAGGTGCTGGAACACGTCCAAAGGAGGGCAGTGAAGCTGGTGAAGGGTCTGGAGCACAAGTCGTATGAGGAGCAGCTGAGGGAACTGGGGTTGTTTTGTCTGGAGAAAAAAAGGCTCGGGGAGACCTTATCACTGTCTACAATCTCTTTCAGGTGAAAGGAGGTTGTAGTGAAATGGGTCTCTGTCTCTTCTCCCAAGTAACAAGTGACAGGACAAGAGGAGACAGCCTCAAATTGTGCCAGGAGAGATTTAGATTGGATATTAGGAAAAATTTCTTCACTGAAAAGATTGTCCAGGATTGGAACAGGCTGCCCAGGGAAATGGTGGAGTCACTATCCCTGGAGGTATTTAGAAGGCGCGTAGATGTGGTGCTTAGGGACATGGTTTAGTGGTGGACTTGGCAGTGTTAGGTTTATGGCTGGACTTGATGATCTTAAAGGTCTTTTTGAACAAAAACAATTTTATGATTCTGTCATTTCTTATAAATCCCTACCTGATTAATTGAGACCGATTATTTGAATTTCACTGAAGAAGAGCTTGACAAAGAATATATTATTTTGATGCAAGGGAGATAGGAGATGGTGAACTCACCATCTGCTAATGACTAGATGTTCTCACCCATGAACAGCCTTTTCCAGCTAGATGAGGCCTGACTTTGCCTACCAGTAATTGCTCTTTGTTTCTTTTGCTTCTCCACTGTATTAAAGAGCTCTAATATTTGGAAGTTTTCCTCATGGAAGTACCTATACACAGAAATGAAATGGGCTTTATCTGCTTTTCTGCCTGTTCTGATTGATGGTCTGGAGCTTTCTGAGCAAGTCATCCTTTTATCCCACAGGAACATTTGCAGCCCCATGCCAGACTGGCTGAGACAGCTGGGAGCAGGGCTGTGCCAGCATCCTGGGACCTCACTGCCACAGAAAGCAGCCACAGGTCACCGGGCCCCATTGCCAGCCCCAGAGCCCTCCTACATCCCACAGCAAAGCTGGAGGCTCCTGGTGGAGGGGCGATCCTCTGCCTGCCGCCTCCGAGAGCTCTCCCGCCCGCAGCTCTGAGGTGTGCAATACGTGTCTCCGGGCTCTTTGCCGTGGGTGAGGGAGGTGTGTCACTCAGGCAGGTTGGATACTACCGCTGAAATGGCTTTTCCTGCTCTCTGTTGATGTGCATTCCAGTCTCAACTGCATTTTTAAGTGACACA